CTAAATATGGTAATTCCGTAATTTACCACACACGTAGAGAGAGAAACATAGTTAGTAGAGTCGTGTGTGCATGTGTGTTTACAAAGGCGCGTATGCATACACGTGTGTAGTTAATAGAACAAGTGAGGCGCTCATATAGCGCATTCTAGAAGTATCTCCTTTATCTGACAACTCTTTTTTATTCATGAATTCATTAATTGGACGAAATAAACATTTAATTGTCATTATTATTATTAAATACAATGGAACAATAAAATGTCTAAGTGGATTGGTTAATTATTAGTATGATTATTTTTCTTTTTCAAAGCGTCAATTGAACAATCTTGTGACTGATGATGGTACTGGTTAATTGCAGCAGTTATCCACAGGAGTACTACTACTATTACTGTAGTATCATACAACACACTACCCTTATATCAATTAGTGAAATAATAATAAACGCATATGAACATAAGAAGAGGAGATTTAGGACGTGAACTTGTGTTTGCAAGAGCGTACGTGTGTGTTTGTGGGGTGGATGGGGGCGGGGGGCGGCAGGTCGTTCATTAAAAGCACTAACGAAAAAGGAGCGCAATAAGTCGTTGTCATCTTTGGTAGTAGCACTAGTTGTCAGTTCAGATTACATTGATGATGATTCTATGCGGGTAATTATAGCAAAAAAGAAAAATCATCACAAACATAAATAAAACAATTAACAATTAAATTACAACGGGGTGGGTGGGTGTTGGGTGAATGATGGAAGAAATAAAACGAACACTTAAAAAAAAACACTACAAATATGAATTTAGTGATTAACCCTGATAGTCGGAGATGATGAATAAAAACTGGTTGGTCGATGATCCCATGTATTCCGATAGACTTGAGATAATAATTGTTAAGGTATTTTGCTGTATGCGAGAGTGGTAGCGGTGGTTGTGGGGGTGGTGATACTACCTCATTGAATGAACTAATGTACATATTAATTGGAGTGGGGTGTAGGGTAGGGTAGGGCGGGGGGTGCAAAAGTGGAATTTACTAACTTAGAATTCTACTCATCAGTGTTAATTAGCCACAGCTGTATTTTTACGCGTTGTTTATAATTATTAAGCTGGTGCATTGTCAGCGACAATATGAACAATATTTACATAGCTCTGAGTCATTTGCCTAATGGTATGGTATGGTGTTATTATTATTATTATTTACGAATCCTTCACTGTCACCGGGTTCCTGGTCTGCTTCAAATCACCGAAAATACCCATTGAGGAGTCATGAAGAAAATAAAAGACAAATTCAGCGAAGAAGAAAATTTTCTTTATCGACAAAATCATCTTCACAGGCGGCTGCCTTACAGTCGTATATGTGAAGGATAAACTGCCGCTTTGGACGGGCCATCTCAATGTGTGTTTATAAATTCACCTGCTCGTATAGAGCTAGTTATATTGGCCGCCCCAGCACAAAGCGCACACTTTCCAAACGCATCTCTAAAATATTATCCGACATGGTTAGCAAAGGGACAATGTAAGACAATTATTAGCTCGAGCGATTGGAGAATTCAAGCCATGTCGCTCCACCAGAGTCGTCTTTCAACATCATCTGCAAAGGGAAGAAGTCAAATGATACAAAGGGCGTCAGATTTCGGCTTTTGTGTAATGGTGGAGGCGCTGGTGATTTGTCAATACAACCCTGAATTCTATATACAGAAAAAGTTTGTCCAGTCTGTTATTCTACCTTGGTCTTAACCTCTTCACTAGTCGTTCCCTGTAAAAAAAAATTTTTTTGATTTTTCTTTACTTTTTCAATTTTACTTTTAGTTTGCTTTGATAATTAATTCACTGTTATCACTCTCATATGCTCTTTCTGTACATTTCATATCCTCTTCACACTTGTTAAATTTGACACTCAAATACCTTTATTCTCACTCAGTAGCAGTTTTAACCTTATACAATTTCTACCTCTGTGCCACGTAATATACAACTTTTAATTTTCACTTCTAAAGCCACTTCTGAGTACTTATATCAATTATGTCACCTCCTATTACTCAATAATAGACCAGTATATATTTTTCGGTAAGTATAAGTACGACTGTACATCCTCTGAAGATGATTTCGTCGATAAAGAAGATTTTCTTCGCTGAATTTGTCTTTTATCTTCTTCATTTATGACTCCCTTAGGTCACGACTGGTCTTCAGCACAATACATCATCATTATTCCCTACTGTTTTCTGCAGTCGTATTTAACTGCCTCCACGATTGCCTATAAAAGCTGTCATCTTCCCATCACACGATCTCCTGTATGTCACCGCATTCGAGCTCCATCCAAAAGGTATGCCTGGCCTGAGGTGGTTTCACTCAATGGTCTCACCGGTGTGTATCTAAGCCATCTCTGTGGTGGTGGTAGTTGTGAGGAGGAGGAAGATTTCTGAGAGATGATGGTCAATCGTGAACTCATCCAGCTGAAGAGGACAGCGGGGGATAGAAGGGAGTAGATATGTGTTGTTGAAGGCTTATGTTCCACTCGGAACCCTAGGGAGTATTATTAATAATAAAATGCCTGCCAAATATGGCGTCGTTGAGCTTTCGTATATATTTTTCATGATGGCACAGAGTTCCTTAAAATTGCTCCTAGTGCTTCACCTAAGCGGAGTTACAAGGGGGAAAGTTGTGAATAAACAGATTGCCAAACATTTGACAAGAAACCACAATAAATGGAGGTATGTGTGTGTGTGTGAAGAAAAACAATAACAATAAAGATTACTGAGATGGATGGAAGTAGTCATTAAAAGTAAGTGCATCGTCGTCATTAAGCCATCTGACCAATTGTCTTCAGCCATTGGCTCTTAGCTAGTTAATATCTCGATGACCCCAAGTAGACAATCTCCGTTTGTCTAAGTGACTCAAGTTAACAAACAGTCAAAGACTGTATAAATTAATGTCATGATTTCGTTTGACCACTTACTCCCTCCCTAACCTTTTTTCTAACCGAACCCTATATCAGCCAGTGTTGTTCGACAAGAAAGGCTGGTGACTTGGTATGCGTGCAGTACATGTCCTAGCCAATTCAATCGATACAGCTTCACAAATTTATCAATTGATTTTCCTTCCTTTGTCTGATATTAATACGACTAACTTCTAACTGATTGACTGGCTTCAACGTAGAAATTTGCACACAGATGTGCAGCGCGTCGAGTTGCCATAAAGGAAGTGTCTGACATCCTAGAGGATCCGTCTTCAGACGTGTATGACCGCCTCAAACTGGCACTAATTAATTAATTTTCTTGGATGAAATTATTATAAATTAAATTATAGATATCCCGAAAAATTTATCAAGAAACAGATGACAAAAAAAGCGGAAAAGGACTACTCACTATCTGGAAACAAGAAGCCACTTCATATACGACTACAATTCAAGGGCGATATACCAAGTGAAATAATTACGAAGAAATTAAGAAAATCAGTTCAAAGAACTTTTAATGCTGGCAAACTACAAACTACACGACCGATGGCGCTACCTCGACTGAAAGATGAAGTACCTAGACTAGCCACTTCAAGTTGTATCTACTAATTCGACTACGCTTTTGGAGCGAGTTATATTGGCTGTTGCTCTAGGAACTTGATTTTTGATATAAGTATAAAACTCGGGCACTGTGGTAGAGCATAACTTTATTATAGATAAGATTTTTCTTTTGATAAATCACACAATATTGTACAGTAATATGAACTTGACATGATTATGAGTGGCAATAATTTGTGCTCGAAACGTCATCAGTTCATATTACTGTACAACAACACTATGTGATTTATAAAAATAAAAATCTTATCTATAATAGAGTTATGCTCTACCACAGTGCCCAAGTCTTATACTTATATCAAGGTGTAGTGTGATAACCATCAACAGTTCGATATTAGACCATCTGGCAGAAACTGGCCACAAAGCCAGCCAGCGTTGAAGAATCCTTCTCTATCATCTATCGGGTGCCAAATGAATTGCCAAAAACATCGAGGTATCGCATGCTTCAAACAGCAGTGGCTATCGCAATTCACGTGAAAAAAAACAGTGCTTTGTGTGCAGAAGAAACAAGTCCAGCTAGCCAGCCACTACTACTGCCCTGGCTGGCCTTCAGTAGAGACTATAAATTCATTAACTTGTAATATTATCTTTCCTAATTTTTCTGACATACAGTTTATTGTCATGTTGACGCTATTGAGTTGTAATCTATCAATATTATTGACTCGATGTTATTTAAACAACATTAATGTTGTTATTCAAGTATTGGTTTGTAGGGATTTGGTTGATTGTTTGCAGGACTTCATCATGAGCTGACATCTGTTAGAGAACCTTTGGAAACCCTGGGAGTACTGGACAACTGTTTCGTCCTAGTTTGGAACTATTCATCAGTACGCCCCCACCGGGGTTAAAACCCACGACCCTCACTGGTGACTGGCCCTATTCAGTTAGGTAGTTACCTGGGGTTCCAGTGGGAAGTCGTGACCAGTAGGGTGCAGCAGGTCGGGTGTGAGGACAAATACTCGCCACCGAAGACATTGGCTAGCGGTTGCGCTATATCGTGAATTGGCAGAAGTTTTAATTCATTGACTGGCCATTGGATCGGATCCCAGTGATTGGCTTAATGGCCCACGAGCTCGTTCACCTTGTAACCAGAAGGTCCTGGCTTCAAACCCTATCGGTGGGATGTAGATGCGTACTGTTGAAGAGTTCCAAACTAGGACAAAACAGCTGTCTATTATTCCCAGGTTTTCCAATGGTTCTCTCACTAATGTTAGCTCATGATGAAATCCTGTAAGCAATTAATGTTGTTAATAACACTAACCCATTTATTCACTATAATGTATATATAACTGTAGAGTCTGATGAAGAAGAAAGAGGTTATCGAAAAGAGTAATTTTTGTCCAGTATCCATTTTTTTGAACAAAAATTTTAATGGGTATTTTTAATCAGTCAGTACTAATAATAATATTAATACTTCTCTTTTTTTTTCTTTTTAAATTTCTTTCTTTTTGTAGTATATGTTCAATAATCCACAACGTATTAGTAGTATCTTTGTATGTCTTTCATCCTTGATTATCCTATATCAATGCACTGTCGCCTATTCAATGATTGAATGGTATAAATTAATTGGTTTAGTCATTAATGGATTATTTTGTTTTGTTAATTTCTACTTACATTTACGTAATTCAATATTAGTACAATTTGTTTATTCAAAGAAAGCTGAGTATACTTCACCAACTTCGTCGTCGTCGTCGTCGTCTCTTCCTACGAGTACTGCCAATACGTGTCCTACTACAACTTGTAGTGCTCCTGGTATTAATCAAACTGTGAATAATAATAATGCGACTGCTAACGCCTTTAATGTTGCCTCGGTGAATTCTCCTTCGTCTTCTTCTTCTGCTTCTTCTTCTACGCCTCATGGTAATTCGCCTAATCATCATACTACTCATATGAGTAGGAATTCAATATCGATGTAGAAAAAAGAAAAAGGTGCCTTAATTGGTTAGAAGAGAGAAGCGACAGGGGAGAGGATTGTGTTTTGTTTTTTTTAGTTAGTTAGTTTTCTTTTGTTTTTGTTTTGTTTTTTTGTAATCTGTAAACATGTACATTGATGAGTGGTGAATAGTGTTCAACAAATAATAATGCATAAATATATATATCTTTTTTGCTATTTTTTGGAATTAAGAGTAGTTTTAATACTTTTGTTTAACTAATACTTGATGTGTGTGTGGGTGGGTGCCTCGCCGTGGTTCGTTGGTAGAATACTCGATAGCCATGAACATGATCCGCTTGTTGGAAATACTTTTTGTGACTGACTGACTCACACACACACACAGTGCAAGTTTTTGAGCCCGTATGGAAGAATTGACTGACTGACTGAGTAACTTCACATTTGTATTGAACAAAATCTGAATCTACCGTGTTCTTCATGCTGGTTGGCTGAGTGAGTGCGTGAAGCAGAAGATTTCTAAACTGGTTTCAGGTTCATGAATACGTATCTTGCTTTTCCAATTCTAACTGGCTGGCTTTGACATGTTCATGCGTGCTGTCCGATGGCTTGCCTATGGTTAAAAGCATGTCGGCTTCCTGGCCAGATTAAGTGAAGGCAGAAAGTAACCTGTATCAAATCTCTCTCCCTCCCCCTTTGATGGTGATTGGCGCTGGTTGGTTGGTTATTTTCATCACCTCTGTCTTCTCTGTTTTCATCAGAAGTCAGGCTTGTCTACACTGCCTGCCTGCCTGCCTGCCCTCCTCTTCAGCCAGTTTCGGTAGCAGTGGTGTTCATATTGTTTTTACGGGATGGCTTCGCTAGCCGCGTCATGCCCAAACCTACTTCTTTACCAGTCCTATTACTGGCTTAACAAGGTGAAAGAGTGCGTCTAGCGGCTGGGGATCGAACCCCGAACCACGTTATGTGTCGTTGACGTGAATTCTACCTCTGTGCCACCGATGCACCGATAATGAATATCAATAAATTCCTTTCACTACTTTTTATCCCAGAAAACACTAAACCATTGAAGACAAAAAAGACGGTTAAGTTTCACTCGCTAGTTCAGTGACTTTATTATCGATTTAATCAAAAATATACTCAAGAAGATTCGAATACTGCTCAACGTTTTCGATCCGATTTGCAATTTTACAATTTATTCAATTCGAAGTAAAATTTCATCACAATATTATCCCTTTCAAAATCGAAATAATTCAACTCACAATATACGATCGATATAATCGATACTATAAATAGCTATCAAGACAGCGAGTGAGTATGAATGCATCATACGATATGCTATTGATTGATTGACTAGTGCGTCGATGGTTCAGCGGTAAAGTGCTGACCGACCGTACACTTGGTCCGGGATTCGAGTCCCAGCCAGCACACACTTTCACCTCTCCCTTAGCCGGTTATAATCTCGATAAAGAGAGGTGGTTGGGCATGAGACGGCTAGCAAACCCATCCCGTAAAAACAATAAATACCATTGGTACTGAAACTTCAAAGCTAAAACTTAAAGCCGCCCTATGTTCCACCACTGGGAACGTAAAGGAATAAAATCACAATATATATTACCTAATCGATTGCAATAAGTAGCTGCCAGTGATGCAAATATGAATGCATGATACTATATTGCTATTGATTGATTGATTGATAGATATTTAGAAGTTGGATACTATTAATATGTGCCACCAGTTGTTGCTAGCCAGCCATATGAAATAATAATGGTAGTAAACCTTTATTTCAGATAATATACGAACATATTGTACAAAGATTTTCAGCGTAGCGTATTCAATTCCAAAATAACTTTTTTCTTCATACAGGATTTACATGCAGAAGTAATAATCTGAAGGATATCTTCACTGCGTTGAAGAAACGCACAGGGTTCACTTGGAAGCAAGTTAAATCAGCGCGCCAGTTCATGTATAGGTCACTTGCTTTAACTGGACTATTAAGACAATGATAAATCCAAAAGAAATTAAGCATTATGGTGGAAAGCAATTTCGGTAGCCTAGTGATTCAAACAGACCGATGGACAGTCATTTCTCTTACTGATAGCAGAGCTCATTAAGGGTGTGTATCTGGGGTTCTACTAAGCTCGAACCATCCAAATCACATAATACCAACTGATTAAATTCCGCTCTCCAAAGGGAATGAGTGAAATTTCTCTTTGAACTGTGTAAACTGCAAATTCGATTCAGTGTATTATTGATTTAGCCGAGTAAAGCTGTTATATAGAGTATCCAACAATTTATTATTTTCCACTAGTAAAGATGACCGGAGTTGATAAAATACGTTAGTTTACTGATAAAATATGAGCATTAAAATAGAGCGGCTTCTTCGGTTGAATTACAAGGTTCGATTACTACGACAGCTCGGACTTTGATAAGATTTCATGCATTTATTCCCTTTGATGAATTTGAATAAAGAAATAACAACAGTTTTTGCAGAATAAAATCGTACCATCAGTGTTTATTTCGTCGGCTTCTCATCATCTGTCCACAGGCCAAAGTCATTATTAAGTATATCTATATAAACAATTTTAACATACTTGCCCACACAGAGTTCATTTTTAAACAAAAATCAATCAATATATATGTAATATTAAACACTTGATTACCGTCTTCTAGGCGTTGCATGGCGGTGTCGAGGAAGTGGAAGAACAGAAAAAAGAAGGGTATATCTACAATTTTCTGAACATGTACCAAAAAGCTTATGTCTAAAGGGAACAAATACTTTATCGCCAGACATCTCCTTGAAACGGGTTATGAGATAGACGTCGAAAAATCGTTCAAAATTATCAATAGGCAAAAGAGCTCAATTCTCCCTAAGTTTGGTGAAGCTATCTTCATCAAGCGCCTGAAACCTGATTTTTGCGGTCAGAAAGAAACAGTTATCAGTCTTTCTTTGCCCACCTGGTAACTGGATATTTTCAGCTCTCTCCCTCTTTCGTCTGATCACGTAATACTGAAAAGTTTCTATTGTGTTTATTTTTTTTTTTTAATTTTTGATTACAGCTTGATTCCACACTGTATTTTTGGTACAAGTATGGAATTTTCACCATGAATATCGGTAGCCCAAATTTCGCAGGCCGACCATAGATATCAGGTGTGCGTCGGCAGGGGATCGAACTTCGGACCATGTGCATGGTCGGCGAGAGCCCTAACCACTGTGCCACCATCGGAATAGTGTTTGATATTATATATATTATTACTGTATGCATATATTGATGGGTTGATTTTTGTTTAAAAATGAACTCTGTGCAAGTATGTTAAAATTGTTTCTGTAGATATACTTAACAATGAATTTGGCCTGTAAGCAGCTGACAAGAAGTCGACGAAATACGCAAACGCTGTTGTTGTTGCTTTCTTTAAATTTGATAAGATTATTTGTTTTTTTTGAGTTAGACCACGGAGGATTGATATCGGTTAGATAACCAGTGGAAACCAGCATTGGGATACTGGACAGTCAACTGTTTCATCCTAGCTTAGACATTCATCGGCAATATGCATCTACCTCATCGCCAGAATTCGAACCCAGGACTTTCCAATTACAAGGCCAGCGAGCTCGTTGACCATTCAGCCATTGGGACCCGACTTCTCAATGTCCAACCCATAAAATCTAACTTCTACCAGTTCGTGAACTTGGCGTGACTGGCAACATGAACCAATATCGTTGGCGGGAACTCCAGACTCGAATGGACCTCACTGGTCACGATTTCTCACTGATTTGTAAGGATTAGATGTGTGTTTTCGATATCAGTTAGAGAACCATTGAAAACCAGGGCGTAACTGTCGATAATTCTCAAAAACCATGATGAAACAGCTGTCCAGTACTCTAATAAATCGAATCCTTACAAACCAATTGTTGAAAATAAGGTTATTCAGCGATATATATATGGCCTTCCTATAGATATTAGAGCGAAACACATTCATATCAGATGGTTGGAGAAATTCGTGTAAAAACTCTATCCCTACAACATTTCGTATTTTTTTTTAAAAATTATTTGACATTCATCAGTAAATGACATCCCAATGGTTTTGTTTGAAATTTAATCCTTTATTACCAACTGCAGTGGTGGTCAGAGGACACGATGAACTTCCTCTACGATAGTAATAGTTATATATTTATTCCACACAGTATTTTGGTTCAATTATGGAGTTGTCAGCATGTGATATCGGTAGGCCAAATTTAGCCGGCTGGGAATCGAACCTCTTGACCATTTACGTGGTTGGAGAGCATCCTAACCGTTGTGGCACCGACGCACCGATCGATCACATCCTTGATGGAACCGCACAAAATAAACAGCAACAACAATAACAGTTAACTGGTGGAGGTTGACTTGCACTGGAATCTAGGATGTGTGTGCATTTCGTCCTATTCGGGACTCATCCACTGGATGTTAACCTGAAACCAAGCACTTCAGTTTAATCAATCGATAGAAAAATCTAAAACTGATTTAAACAAGCAGCAGCAACAACAACCCCATTCTCCCCTCCTCTATACTATTATGCATGAAAAGTTGTTAAGAATTAAATCATTTTAGAGAAAATATTCATTTTGAGCGGTTAATTTATTGTGATTGATTGACAGATTTAGTTAAACCATAGTAGTATAGTTTTCTCTTCAATTAAGACAAGATTTTGAGCGAACAGTTGTGTTGTCGATAACTTCTTCTTCTTCAGGCTTTACAGTTATAAATCCATGAATAATAGAGTACATATAGCCAGCCCTAATAAAGGCAAATGAAAATAAATTATATTATAAATTATTTAAATTAATCCCAGCGTGTTAAGAAAATCAAAACAAGATCTATTTTCTGAACGTTTCGCCGTGTAAGCCACAGCTTCTTCAGCAAATTTATTCGGATTTTATTAACCGACATCAAAATATATAGTTAAAAGTTTTTTGCATAAATTGAAGTCAGTTTATTTGTGATGGTCATTTGTCCATGGACACTTTTACCCATCGATATATGTAAGCCGTCATCCCATCTATTTGTAATGACTAATGTCAAAATTTCAAGTATTGGTTTTGTAGGGATTTCGTTTGATTCCATGTAATGTCAAATTGTTGTTGTGTTCACTCTTCTATAGTTGATTTGTTAAGATTAGTTTTGTATGAGAGTGTGTGTGTGTGTATGTATGTTATTTGTCATATGGAAAATACGTGAATTCACATGGGATAAACATGAGCCTTGGTGGGAACATCATCA